TGAATGCTTCTAATAAAAAATGGATCAAGCAGTTGACAGAATGGCATTTCTTAAATGATTTTTTTTTTCAGTTTGAAACATATCTCCATGCACCTCTTTTTATTTTTTATGCCAATGAAAAGGGCAACTTTCTACAGTATAAGATGAAGAATTTATAATGCACCTGATCTGATCTGAAAGCATTTTTGTTGTGAATTATGGGGTTGCAGTCTAATATTTTAGATTTTAAAAGAAATTTTTATTATTATTTACACTAGTTGGAAGGAGGAAAATTTTCAAAGTTATCCTGAGGTAAAATTGCATTTTTCTTAGTTAAAAAAAATTTAATTAGTTTAAAAATTAAAATGTTAGACTGCAAGACTTCATTGAAAATCTGGCAAAGACCTGGGAGCACTTTTCCTGACAGGTCCTCCCTCAGCTGTGAAGCTGGGAGCACAGAGACCTCCTTTCCCCAGATTCTGGTGTATTTAAGGTTTAAGGTTTTGGGGACACAAGTTGCCCATATATGAATATATTCATATATTCATATAACCACAGCTGTGAGGGCTGCTCAACCTGCAGCACTTCATCCAGCAGCTCAGTGATCACTCATTGCTGCAGTGCTCAGCGTCTCTGATAATATTGCTGTCACTGCTGGCTGCCTGAAATCCAGGATGCTGCTCCCCTGGGAGCTGTGATTTCTTAGGCACCTCAAAAATCTGTCTCTTCGTGTGTGCAAGCAGATCCATTAATTGCAACCTCACTAGGAATCTGAGATTGGAACTTCTCAGAAGCCTGTCTACATAATCATCTTTTTCCTTTCAGTGAGGAAAATTTCTTCTCAGGAATTTTTTACAGTCAGCTTTGTGACTGCAGAATGTCCTCATGGTCACTGTAGGATCTTGGCACCTTCCCATTGCTGTCAGCAGAAAGCAGCTCTGGGGGTGAGGATGTTCTGCAGGAGGAGTCGTCCTTCAGGCAGAATATTAAACTGCTCTGCCATCTGTTTTACAGGGATTATTCTGGTCAATGCTAAAAATCCCTTGAAAGCATTTTTATGATGTCCCTGTCGTGCTCCTTCTCCTTAGTGTTTGAATAACCTCTCCCTCCTGCTGTTGATTTTGTGTTCTCCCTTTCTGAGCATGCAGAAGGGCCCTGGGTGGCAGCTCCCAGCCCTGGCTCTCTCTCCCTGCTGGATCCACACCATGGAGTGCATTTTGCATTTGTGTGTGTGCACCCACGGCTTGTGCTCCCACAAAGCAACATCCTCACTCTCTTTGCTTTTCCAGAAACTCCATCATGCCCCAAGGTGCAATATTTCATGAGAAAACCCTTCTTATATCTACCCTGTTCACTAATTTGACATTATTTCTGTTCTCTGATAGAGCTCAGGTCTCTGACAAGCCCTGGGCTCTCTTCATTTAGTACCAGGCACAAGAAAATCACCCTTCTCTGCATCCTCTCCAAGCTCTGCTGCCCTCCAGCCCCCATTATCACCTCAGCATGCCAGACTTACCTATATGCCTCTGGGAGAGGCAAATGCAGGTGTTGATCTGCTTTTTTTAAACATCCCTTTTCATAGAGTAGACACCATTTCTACTATGAGGATATCCAAGATTTTAGGCTCCTATTTTAAGTTGCAGAGCTCAGATGACAGAATTCCTGGCTAAGTATGCAACATCTGAGCTAACTAAAGAGCTAAAGAGTACAAGAAATCTGCAAGGTGCAAAGTGTATTTTAAAGAAATGAGGAAAGGATCTGAATTCTGATGTATCCCAGGTTTCTGTGTCCAACACAGTTTAATGGGCTGTTTTGGGCAGACCCAGAATGAGGCTTTCCTGCCTCTGCCTTCCTGCCTCTGCAGACTCTGCCTTATGGATCCTGACATTTGTCGTGTCTTCAAACCTCACTTGTGTGTCTCAGAAAGAGAACTGTCAGTTTAAAAGGGCCCAAGGTTGTAATCATAATAATTTAGATTGGAAAAGAACTGTAAGGTCATTAAGTCCAACCACTGACCCAGCAGCACTAAGCCCAGCACTAAACCATGTCCCCAAGTGCCACATCTACATGTCTACTAAATACCTCCAGGGGTGGTGACTCCACAACTGCCCTGGGCAGAGTGTTCCAATGCTGGACCACCCTTTTGATGATGCAATTTTCCTAATATCCTGTCTGAAACTTCCCTGGCACAACCTGAGGCCGTTTCCTGTTGTGCTGTTATCTGGGAGAAGAGACTGACACCCACCCTGCTACAATAGGCTTGGTGAGATGTGTATATTTGTCTCAAGGCTCATGCATCACTGTGAAGGGTAATTATAGCAACCCAAGCCTGCCATCTTTATGACACATCATGATTTCGCATCTAAATGCTAAATGGGGCTGTTAATGAGTGAGTGCAGCTCAGCTTGAGTGAAAGGGTGTTAAAGAATCAGGTCTGGAGTGAATCAGCCTGTGCGTATGTGGCAAAGAAAGAAAACAAGTGGTGTGAAATATAGAAAGTGTAGCATTCTGGAGTTATAGCCTGCTTCTCTGCACTGCCCCTTCTCCTAGGGTGATCCCAGAAAATATCCACCTACAAACTGAATGGGAAACCAGTCACTATTTTTTTGCCATGACCTTTTCTTTGAATTATTTGTTCTTCCCCATACAGGTGACTCTCACTGGTCTGTGAGACTCATCAGCTCATGTCATTATTTCTTAGGCCGCCCAAGATGTGATTCCATCCGGTAAATGCCAGACTTTGTGTGTCAGTGAAAGAGCATGGATGCTTCATAGGTCTTTTCTAAGTTTGTGATCTTTGGTCCTGTTGTTGTGGGAGGCAAAGAGCCCAGCTTTAAGCCTTAGCAGCTTTTAAATAGAGAATGAAAAGATTTCCAGCACTTGGTCTTTAAGAACATACTTTTACCTTTTCAAAAGAGAGATAAGGTCTGTGGAGACTCAGAGTCTGATCAGTTCTGCTATTGATCATTAGTGTTATTGTTACTTCATTTCCTAAAACGAGTTTTCAATTTAGTTCTGTGGCAACCAGAAAGGGACAAACACAGTGAGGTCACTGCTCTTCCTGCTCCAATATTTGAGGTCACTTTGAAGCATGACCTGTCAGCAGATGATTCTTAAAGACTTCCAAAGCAAGGCTTGATGTTCTTTTGCACATATTGTTCTTTTGTTTTTTTCTCTTTAAATAAAAGGCTCCTTCCCTTACTTTTCAAAAGAAAATATGTCTCTGTGGAACTACATTTTACTGCTTTGGAGAACATGATGTTCAGTCATGACACAAATCTTTGTGTAATCAAGAAAGTTACTTCAGGACTGGGAGGTTCTGAGACTCAAAAGTAATTTTGGACTTTTTTAACCATTAAAGGTAACACTCCAGCACTGAAACAAGAGCTGTAGAGCTCACTTAAGTACTTCTGGTGGCTGTCAGATGTATTAACTTCCCTGCACATTAACAGCTCTGGTGCCTATGCAAATGTTTCTCTTTACCCCTCCCTGCACTGTAGACTCCTGATCACTATAAACTGATCAGAATGCATTTGGCATTTTAATTTTTTTTTTCCTATTCCTTTATTGATCACTCTTTTTGAGCCCTGGAAGAATGCTATGTTGCCTTTTTCACTTGATGCAAAATGTACAGTGTGATTCAGCATAAAGAAAGAGAAGAGGAGACATGTTGAATGTGGTGACAAACAGCAGAGAAAAGGAAGAGGTTCTGGCAGGTTCTGCAGAGGCTGTGTTGTAATTATGGGCCACAAATATACCGGTAGATAAACAGAAGGGCAGAGGAAGCTTTTATGAAGTTCCTTGGAGCAGTTCCATGAACAGCACGGGCAAGGCATGGCCATTAATCCATGCAGAGAAGTCAAGCCCCTGCTCCTTCCTTACCCTGAACATTTGGGCTGCCAGGAAATCACAGCATTTGCAGCAGGAGTGATGCCCCTCTGAGCATTTTAATATAGAGAGTGCTACTGAATTTCTCCTCTGAAGTAATTTTAGCTGCATATAGCACTGTTATTTACAGTGTGTGCGTTTGCGTGCGCTTCTATAGGTCAACTGACTGTGTAGGTAACAACACCCACACATCCTCAGGCTTGTGCCTGCCCATGTCAATCCATACCTCATTTACACTTTATTTAGGCAAGTAGCTCAAAGCTTAAAGCAAAGTCCACGTTCTGTGCATGCCTACGCTGTGCTGGCTGCTCTGGCGTGACTCCACTCCCTTTCCCATGTGCTTCTCCTTCCAAGCTCTGTGTCTACAGCTGTGTGAGGCAGGGGAATGCTGCAGAGCCAGCTGGCTGGAAACCGCCTGCAAAATAATGGAAATCAGGTGTCCAGAAGGAGTATGTGTTTAGATGTGTCTTGACTTTTCTTGGTTTTCCCTGCAGACAGCAGTGACTCTGTATTAGCTTTGTTTTTTTGCTCTCTGTAAAAATCATCCCCTGTTGATGTTTGGATATGGGGAGAACAGAGCTTGGTGTGACTTTTGGTGACTTGGCAGACGCTGTATGCCAGTTGTGCATCTGGGGTACAGATGGAGAGACACTAGGGAAAAGAAGAAGCCAATAAATAAAATTAATGTGGGGATCTGGATGAAAAAGAAAACCAAGATCATATTTTGTCTTATTATGATGCTGGCCAGTTGTAGGGACCAGGGATGAGTGTACTCTGAGGAGATGGATGGAAACATATTTAGCAACCTTAGAGCTCTTTTCCAGTAACCCAGCCCAGTGCTGTTCTTCTTTCCATGGAAAGCAGAACCACATATGGGAGGCAAGACTTCCAGGAATGACAGAAATTGGGACCACATGGTACTTCACATTCTACTTTGGGTTCCCACTGAACTTGGTACATTTTAATGCTCTGGTTTTTTTTGAGGCTTTGGGTTTTGATGATGCAAAAACATTCCTCTGTTGCTATATTTTTTCAAAGGAAAAGCACATATTCAAAATGTTGGACATTAAACTCAGTGCATGTGTGCTTGCAAGCTTACTGCTGTCTCATTGCTATTGTTTCCTCTTTCTCAGGACATGACCTTCAGCACCACAATGAATCAGGAAAAACCTGTCAAATCCTCCTAGCTCCCCGGCTGTGCAATTTGCTGTTCCCTCCCTGTTCCCCAGACAGCAGCTTTTCTCACCCAAGACACAGGAGCCAGCAAGTCACAAATGACAGCTGAAAACTGAAGCATTACCAAAAGCTGCGTGAGACTCTGTCAAAGAGAACCTTTATATATAATTCTCCTTCCAAGCCTGGGAAGCTGAGCATCCCATCACTTCCAAAGAGCGGAGGGAAGATATGTTCAAGTAACCAACAACCGAAACTGCACCAATCCATACCCATTTTAGAATATCTACACAGTGACCTGCAGCACTTAGAACTCTCCGTTCAGGATGGATGATGGATATAGAAACACAAACCAGGTCTCAGATGACTACAGGTACCAGGATGGCAACTACAACGCGCCCAACGACGGCTACTACCGGGGCGGGGATGAGCCCGCGCAGGAAGAGGATGCCCAGAGCGATGTCACAGAGGGCCACGATGAGGATGATGAGGTCTATGAGGGGGAGTACCAAGGCATCCCACACCCAGACGACATTAAAGAGAAGCAGAAGAAGCGAGCCCCTGCCGTGGATGATGAGTACAGAGACCGTGCTGACCTCATGGCCGAGAGGATGGAGGATGAGGAGCAACTCGCCCACCAGTATGAGAACATCATTGAGGAGTGTGGCCACGGACGCTTCCAGTGGACTCTCTTCTTTGTTTTAGGGTTGGCACTGATGGCAGATGGGGTGGAGGTGTTTGTGGTTGGATTTGTGCTCCCCAGTGCTGAGAAGGATATGTGCTTGTCCAGTTCCAACAAAGGGATGCTGGGTAAGTGCCAGTGGCAAACAGCTCTTCTAATGCAACGAGAAGCAGCTGGGACACCATTTTCTGGTGACCAGCTGATTTCAGGATCTTCTGATGACTTGCTTCTTGTGTTGTATGTCATGCATAGTCATGCCTGGGTGGATCTGACTCAGGAGGGGTTCACAAGCTGATGAGCAGCAGAATTGTACCAGAATGTGCTGTGGCTCCAGTGCCAGTCTGGTCAATGTGGGCTGGATCTGGGCAAGACAGCTCACAGTCTGCAGGTCCACAGGGCAAAACTTCAAGGGGTGTTCAAGGATAAATAAGTGAAAAGTTAAAGGTGAATCTAGTGAATCAAAATCCAAAGCTGTTAGAAACTACAGGTTTCCCTTTTCTTCAGCCCAAAGTCCCAACAGGCAAATCAACTGTGCAGCCAGTTCCTTCTGCCTGCTGACTTCTCAGTTTGCTCATATGTCCTGGATAAGATTTAGTCAATGGAGGCTTCTTTTTAGGTCTGTGGAATGCAATTAAAGTGCAGCATGAAGATTAAAGCTGAGGCTACTGGCAACATCCCTTTTGCATCACTGTCAACATCTCCCTGAGGTCAAAATACAAGGCTTAGTTATTTATTGGGACCAAGATGGGGTGGAAAGGTTTGGATGAACAATTTTTTCCCTTGAACAATAGGCAAGCCAAATTCCATCAGCCAAAACAGCAAAGCCTCCCAGATCTCCAAGAATCAGGACAGGATCCAGCAGGGTCGGTATTGAGAGCCAGCCACGCAATAGGACAGAACATCTGGAAGGGAAATAAAATAGCTTTTGGAATAACTGGTTGAGGAGGGAGAGAGTGTGTCTTGAAGGACATGTACTGGGATTGCAGGGAATCATCAGGGACTCTAGGTCATACAAGCTGGCCCAGAAGTCCCGCCTGATGCAAGGAAAATGCAGATTTGGGACTAGACCCCAGCCACTGACTTAATTCTGTTGACATTATTTTCATGTGACAAAGGCAATAGATAATTATCCCTATATAAATCTCTCCTCTTGGTGTACTGAGGTCATATTCACTTTTCTGTTTCTCCCTTTTTTCTTTGAACTTAAGGATTGGGATACTTCTTTCTATAGTTAGCCAGGTCTGTACTGAGTTTTGTGCCTTAAAGAATTTAGCAACTTTTTTTGCTTCACAAACCCATTAAAATTTCTAGCTCGAAATATCTCTGGTCAGATATCTAAAAGCAAACCTCTCACAATTAGATCCTGATTTCAAAGGGACTTTGGAGTTCACCAGCTCCCTGTGGGACGCAAAGCTTGGTGTCTTTTTAGTGATGAGACCTTTTTTGAAAAGCAGGTCATTTATTTTGGTGACTCTCTGAAAGCTGAGATTTTCTGAAACTCTGACCCCATAAATATCTACCTCTGTATAGCTCAAGCTCTGGCAGGCTTCTGAATGAGAAAACTTCAAATGTCACAAGAAAATCTATCTTTGAAGTATTTCTGGCCCAACCACAGGTAAAAATGAACACGAAATCTCCCCAGAGAGAGCGTTCTGCTTTTTCCAGCTCAGTATTTGCAAGGCTGAAAGTTCAGGGTGTTCTGATAAGCTCTGAATAAGCAAGGAGACATTTGGGTCTGTATCCAATCCCAGCTCCAGCCTCCTGCGCACTTTCAGAGCTAATCTGGGACTGCTAATGAGGGGAAGAGAACTCTCCTTGCTGCCTTTCCTGCCCACTTTCAAACACAGCTTGTGAGAACCTGATTTTGCAGAACAATTTCTCCTGTCCTTAGCTTATTTGTTTGGGGGATCTGCTGTCAATCTGCTTGTATCCAAACTATTTCATGACTTAATTATGGAGGAAAAAAAAGAATTTTTCTTAAAACAATAAAAGCTGGTTCATCTTAGTTTGGGTCAGGGAGGAGGGTGGGTGGCTATGGCAGCATGCAGTTGTTATTGACTGGTGGTGTACATGGGGCAGGTCTCTGATTCAGTCCATCTGACTTGTTAAACACCCTTTCTTGCCTGCTGGACATTTCTCTGCTGCTGGGTCTGAGGTTTGTGACTTTGTGGAAATAAATTAAGCAAGGCTTGGAAAGCCTCACATTGCCCAGCCGTGCTGTGATGTGAGTAATGAGTGCCCAAGGCATCAAGAAAAGGGTGTGTGATGAGCCTTGGGTTGGTAGGGGGCTGCTGGAGGGCACAGGAAGGGAACAGTGCAGATTTCTGGGTCTGGAGAGGGGAAGGAGACCTTTCTGCCAAATGAAGGGTGGCAGCAGCAGGGAAGAGGGTGTTGGAGGTTTGACAGAGAGCAGGGCAGTGCAGGGACATGAGGTGTGGGTGCAGCTCTGCCTCCAGCACAGCCTCATGTCCCAAATACTACCCCTGCAAGGAGGTTTCATGTCTTTTCTCAGCAGCTGGGGCAGCAGATACCAGCTTCTCAAGGGGAAGGCTGAGGAAGTGCTATTGATGGCAACAAGAACAAAATCATCAAAATCTTTCTTAGGATAGCTGCAGCTCCCATCCACCTGCAGCTAGAAAAAAATGTATCTCCCACAAAGCTCAGAGTGTCCAAGACAGGCTCATGTCCCTCTGTTAATCCATTCCCTTGGTGGTCTATGGCAGTGCACATTGATCAAGGTTCAATTACACTTGGAGATTAATTTGGTGGCAATCAAAGAGTCTTCAACTCAATTTTAATGTGCAGTGACAGCCTTGCACAAGAGTGTCTGCACAGGGTGAACTGGAGGGGCAGGCACTGCTTTCCCTCCAGTTATCCCACGGTTTTAGGGAAGCAGGGATATTATCCACACATAAGCTACTGCCCCTTGCCTTATCCCTGTGTACCAATAAACATCCACAGATAAGCTCGTGTTTATTCCCAAGGAACCATTTATCTCCCCAGTTTTTGTGAAGGAAACATAACCAGGTTTTCCCAGGAGCAGTTAAGGTCACTTCCAGACAGCTGCTAACATTTAAACATACAAGGGCTCAGCCATAACAAGAGAGGCCAGGAGGGAAAAATAAGGAAATAAGTCAGGTTAAAAATCAAACTCCAGCAGAAATAGGAAGGGACAAATAAGAGCGATAAAGCAGATGCCTCCTAAAGACCAATTTAGTGAAGTTCAGCTTCTGTTAAAAGGACATTTTGAGTTAAACACTCTGCACATTGCATATTTTTTTCTCCCTTGGAAAGCAGTCATGGGAAAATATCAAGCAAACTATGGCCAAATTATGCAAAAATTGCAAATAAACAGATGCCCACGGTGTTTCATGAAATGTGTGAAATGGATATGACACGTCTTAGAAAATGTTTACATTTCATTCTGAAAATAAACATCTCACCATCAGATGCAAATTAACAGCTATTTTAGCCCTAAATATCCCGAGTGGGACAAAATACGTATTTGGAATTTTTCAGTTATGAGAAGTGCTATTTTAAGGATGATTTCAGGGGTATTACAAAAATAAAACCCAACAAAAATAAAAGAAACAACAATATACGTATTTTAGCAGTTTGATTTAATCAATTTATAAGTTGCTAAGAATAAGTTTGGTAACATGTAACAACTTTATTTTTACATATTTATTTGAGAGATCAGCTTTGCTGAGCTTTCATCAGCAGTAGTCAAAATAATAATTCAATTCTTAAATTTACTGAGAGTATTCCTTCTCAGTATGATTCAGCCTATTGGAAACATTATTTTTAATATGCTAAGGATAATCAAAAGAATAATAAAATGTGTATTTTTATATTTGCTGAAAGGCACACAATATCATTATTTGGAGAAATATCCTATAAATATATATCTTTACATGCTATAAATCACTTCTTAGGGGACTAAATATTATGTTTGCAATCACAGAGCAGTAAGTACACAAGTATAAAAGATAATGACATAGTAATGTTTTAAACTTCTTCACATGCTGCATATAAAAAACTCAAGGCATAGCTAAAGCATCATCCCTCCCAGATCCCAGAGCTGCAGCTGTGTTATCATCATTTCACAGTTCACTAAACTGAGACAAGGAAATTTTTAAGGGCTTTGCCCATAACTGTAAAACAGCTACACCAAGGCTGAGAATAAAATTGCTTTTTCAGGCTCCCTTCTCCTTTTTATGATTTATTAATAATTTTTTAAAGGCGAATATAATATTACAGACTCTTAACCTCACAATGCCGGATTAAAAAAAGCCAGTAAAATAGATCCTATAAGTAATTATGCTTTTATGTAGCAACTCAAGCTTGGCTGTGTGAGTCAGGTTAAATAGAATGTGTACAGCATGCCTGCTTTTAGTTGTGTGAAGAGGATGTTTTATTATCAGCCGAGATAAAATCTGGTCGCAGCTTCTCATTGACCTGAATTCACCTGATATGAGAGTAAATCCTAATCCCCTCCGCACAGCTCAATGGCTTTTCTCCACTGCAGTTTTTTTTCTCTGTCTGAGCACAGACAAGCCCAGCCATGGCTCCCTTGCTCTGCCATGGGTATTTGCTGCCTCTTTTGCCCCTCATGGCCATGGAGCCCCAGCTCAGCAGCCGCCACACCCTGATGAGACCTGCCCATGTCAGGCACGGATTCCTGGCTGCAAATTTGCTCTCAGTTAGAAATCCTCAGCCCTGTATCATCACAGGAGTATCATCACTATGAGCAGTAGGGAAAAAATAAAGGTGTTTTTGTGATTTGAGAACACCCCCCTTTTTGTGTAGGTATGATTTGGGGATGGATGGCTGTGTCCCCATCTGTAAACACTGTGGGAATTTCATCTGATGTGTTCCAGCGTAAGAACGAGTTTTTTGGACAGAAAAGGATTTGTTTGGCTCCTCTGTTGAAATCTTTGCTTTAGCAGAAGGGTTGGGTGGAGAGAACCAGATGGTCCCACGAATCCTGTGGTGCTGGACACGTCCCATGGGGGGATGTGAAGCCAGCTGGGTGTAAACACCACCCACGCCCCGCTGGCAGCGCTGAGCGCGGCTCTGCCACAGCCCCACGGGCTCACCCACCCACCCCGGCTCCAGCTGCACAGCC